ATTTTTTTTCCATTAATGATCATCTTACAATATTCATGATAAGTAATATTTGATATTTTTTCTGGCACTAATTAGCTAATAAAATTTGTGATAAATAAATTAAAACTATTATTCGTAGCTATTGAGGTCCAATTCATCAACATTTAAAGGTTCATAATTGTCATCTTCGCTTTCAATAACATTTATGGCAAGTATGATGTAAATGGCACTCTGGAAATTAGTAGACGGGCCAATAACTTGCATTCGCACGTTGCACAGCTTTTTGCAATACTTATTCTTGAGGTTTTTCAATTGTTCGCGAGTCATTCCCTGTTGGTTGATAGTACAATATAAAAATTAGACTAAAATCAAGATGACGTAAGTTTATAAAAAAAAGATTACCCTCATAATATCAGCACTGCAGGAGAATGCTTCTTCTGCGGCTGCATCCCTCAAGCGACATCCGACTAAATAACCAGTGTCATCTTTAAGATTGACCAAAACATTTATGCTAGTTATATTTATTGGAGATTTTATCCCACTTCCAAACGGACATTCCAGATTCATACAGGACTCTTTTTCATCTGAAACTAGCCTTTTACATTTTGCACTGAAAATACAGAGAGTATGATATTTTTTTATATTATTGTTCTAAAAATATATAAAATGCATAATAAATGAGTACCATCGATAACTGATCAAAGTTGGATCGTCACAATCGAGATTCATGTCGTCCACCATAGCCCTGACAACTACTAACAATTGCATCCTATCATTTGAAGGCAAGACTGATGCGTTGTTTAATCTACTCGTTATTTCAATTATCATCATTTGTTTCGTTATAGAATTTGCTGAAACAATTAAAAAGTCTTGTTATTTAATTATTTAACAAAATTTTAAAAAATCATGATAGGTAAAAAAAAATTACGGTTAGGTACTGCATACAAAGATGTAGATCTAATATCTGGTTTTCTTTGAAATTGAAATCGGAGTTCTTCGGTCTCTTTCAGCATTGGATTTTCCGTTATGATTGTTTTTCTTACTTAAAAAAGATGACAAAGAAAAAATTTACTTTTGGCTTGTTTAAAATTAAAATATCAACTTTGAATTTATTACAGTTTTAATTTGAATTACTGTCATGAGTTTTAATCGGGCCTTC